GAAATCTGCAAAGCGAAGAGACCGTGAGAACCGGTAAAAGCAGACTGTTTTGACCGGTTCTCACGGTCTCTTCGCTTTGCAGACTTCTTATATTTTTTCTTCTACCCTGAAGATGGAGGCGATACGTTCCTCCGAAACGTCGGTTTACACCACATATACACGGTGCCAAATCCCAGAAGACTGCTTTCTTCGAGCTATAACCTATTTGATGCCACTGCAGTGGCATTTACCTAGACAGACAACAAAATTATAAAAACCTGAAATTTATTATTTATTCCATTGTAAAATTCCCTCAATCCAATCTAGGCTACAAATACTCCTGACAGCTATAGAAGCAGTCACAGACAAGTAACTAAAATACACATGCTATGAAAATAAGCACAGGTCAATCAAACAATAAACCAAACTGTTTATCTTCTTACTTTAACATTACACATAAAAATATCTTAAATTTAATATTGTAAGAAATCATCTTACGAAAAGGTAGATGATAACATAGTTATGCCAAAATAAAGCACCTATGATACATAAAACCTTAAAAATTCACATTAAAATTAGTAATTACTATTAAAAAATCCTTCAGTGAATAAAAAGAATTAAATAGAAGGTAGTTTTTTGGAGTATTTTTAAACTGATTCTTCTTATCAGACAATTTTTTTATGCAAGGAGGTAAGTGATTAAATGCTTTTATACCTATGTAATAAACACCATTTTTATAAATAGACAACCTTGGTTGTGAAAGGTAAAAATTATTTTTACCTCTGGTGTTTGTATCATATAAATCTGAATTTGTTTTAAATAAGGAGATATTATCTATTACAAAAATTAGTAATGAAAATATATACTGAGAATAAAATGGTAATATATCTACTTTCTTAAACAACTTCCTACAGGAATCCCTATTTCTGGAATTTGTAATAATTCTTATGGCCTTTTTTGTAGTTTAAATATAATGATACTATAAGGGGAATTCCTCCAGAAGATTATACAATATGACATAACTGCATTAAAATAAGAATAGTAAATCACCCTTAGTGATTCATGGGATGGCATGGCTAGTTAAGATAAAGCTGGATTTGAGATTCCCAGTGTTGACTATGAAGATTTCTATCTTTTATATACCTTCTAGATATAAGTCACACTTATCACTGTCAGACTAAGATGTTGGCTAGAAATGTATAGAACATATACACATTATCTCTATGTACAGTAAATTATAAGTAGGGACTGGATTTTTATGCCCTAATAATTCCTTAAATATGTATTCATTTATGCATGAAAAACTTCTGAAATATACACTAAAATATGCACATAAAAATTTATACCAAATATTAAAATTGATTTTACATTATTTTAAGACCAACAAATCAATATTAAGTTCATTTTATGTAATCAACATATTTCATTACAAATTTAAAGAACCAATGGTATTCACATTTAGCTCTCCGAACTTTCAACTTCTCTTCTGTTGCAGTTCACAGTTACTAAATGTTTTAGGTTTTCCATAGTTAGTCGCTTCCTATTGTCTCGTAAGATGTCCTTATACCGGGAAAAACTTCTTTCCACCTCACAGGAACATAGGGGCGCATGTACATATAAAAGCCGCTATTTGCTCCACTGTTAGTGATTTTTTACTTGGCAGTTCAGTACGTTTACCAGCTAAATTTACTTCAATTTCACAAATTTGTTCATATCCTGAATTTTTTGAAAGAATGCTGTGTACTTTTTCCTTTACTACGTCACCAACTCTTCCAGGAAACGAATTCAGTTTAGAAACAGTGGTTTTGAACACCCTTAACGACTGATACAAAGTACTACTGCTATTGCTTGCCTCTAATGAGGAAATAGTGGATGGAAGATGAGAGAAGTGAGCAGATATATAGGAAAGATTAGTTTCTAGTTCTGCATTTTTTAGTACATCTTGTGCAATTTGAATTGATCCTGCAATTTTGGGATCAAATGTATTCACGACATTCCTAACTGTTTCTAAATGTTCGGCATAATAACTCGCTACACACAGCCACGTGCCCCAGTGCATTAAAATTGGTTCTGGCGGAGGTGGAACGCTCGGTGCTACTGCTTTAAAGGCTTCTTTTCTCTATGGCGCTTTAACAAATACCTTCTTCACAGAAGACACCAACTTGTCAACAAGTGGAAAATTTGCACGAATTGTTTCTGCAACACGGTGCAACCCATGGGCAAGGCAAGTCAAATGTGTCATATTTGGAAATATAACTTTAAGAGCAGTACCGGCTTTCATCATATAACTTGCAGCATCAGTCACAAAGAGCAATATGCACTCATACTGAATGCCATAGTAAATTCATGGAATTGATAAAAAAATTCGGAAACTGAGGAGCTATTTGTGGTTTCAAATTGCTCTACCACAAGATATGGAGTAGACTGTTCATTCTTATTAAGGGATCCAACCATACAATTTGCAATAAACCGTCCCTCACAATCTTGTGTTTCGTCGATTGATACCCACACAAACTTATCTTTAATCTTATATCTGATGCTTTCACCTGTAAGATTGTAACACTGCTTCACATAATTTTTGCACACAGTAGATCCATCCGGCACTTTGCACTCTGTATACTTCTCTATAAGTTTCTCAGAGTAGGATTGGTTAGTTTCCTCAGCGGAAAATCGGCTGCTAAAACAGGTTCGCATAAATCACAGAAAAACTGAAAAACTATTATTAGAAAATTCACTAAGCAATTTTTGAACAGGAGCACTTTTCGTGGATTTAATTTTAATATTCTCTTTGTGTATATTAGTGTTCAAATACTGTAGCACTTGAAAGCGTTTTTCACAACTGTTTTCTCACACGCTTGTCACTAAAGAATTTCGTTATCCGTACTTATCATCTCTCCTTTGAACTCTCGCTGATACAGCTGTAATTTAGCTTTCTGACTTACTTTCACTTTCGGCATGACTACAGAAAGCTAAACAAACTTAACTACAGACTAGTCACCACTAATGTGAATGGCCCCCAGCTTCAAATGAAGAAGCGTAATGAACCTCATGGAGACTTCGAAAATAAATAAGTGAAGTCCCTTATTGGTTGAATAGTATTACGTTGATAGCGGCTACATATGAACACTTCTGACTAATCTCTTCGTGGCCACGTTAATGGTACGTGGATGAGGCAAGTTACGAGTAGAGGGATCGGGGAAGTCCCGTCCTGGGTATTGCATCAGAAACATGAATCATGATGAAATGTTGAGTCAAATATGCAACATATTCTAATATGGAAAAGAAAAATTGTATACACACGACCATGATTGAAAATTTGAACATAAAATTAAATATATGATAAACATTTTAAAAATGAAATATGCAGTATAAATAGAGATCTTCGAAAATATGATGCTTATTCATAAAACAGGCAATATATGCATTTATATGCACCATCAAACCATGTACAAAATTTAAGAAATGAAGTAATTCATACATATATCCAAACGAGCATACTTTCTGGTTGCAAGAAAGAAATATGCATTTGCATTAAAATCTGGTCCCTAATTATAAGTACACCAAAGAAACAGGTAATACTAATACAATGCAACTAAAAGACTGACATGGGTTTTCAACAAGTTTCAGTGTTACATATATTTTGTAGCTGGCAAATTAATATATGGACATATAACACAAAATTGATACTGAACTCACCTTCCTGACTGGCATTGAATCTTAAGGAAAACCCCCGTCTCACATGATAGCTCTCAGAGCGATCATCTGAGTGGAAGAGAACAGTCACCTCATTGGATGTACTGTTGAAACTTTGGGTAGTATTTGAAGAGGAACCGCAGAATCTCACAAGCTCATTCACTGCAACAGAACACACTGTGGTGATATATGCAGTCACCATCAGATAGGGGCATCAATCAACGTGAAAGAGTATATTGCCCTTCTTTACGTAACATAACTGTCATGAATATTCATATATTTTTTCCTTCTAATCTGACATAAATATCCCAAGTTTTTTCGATTTTATCACTACCTTCAAATGACTAATAGTAATTTTATGTTAGCAATCAATTTTTGTAACATATCAGTATCCTGATCCTTATTTATATAAAACATTTTTCCCAAGATTGGCACCAATTTATTGATATAAACTGACATTACTACCTCCAAATTGCTGAAAGTTGTACCACCAAGGCTATTATTTTATGACAGAATTTTCTTGAAATAGAAAGAGTTCTTGGTGAATTTCAAGAGAATATCATTGGAAAACAAGGGAGTTCCCATGTTATGTGAATGTTCATTTCCTTGTATCAGCAGTGATCCAAGCGAAGTATTAGTCTATATATTTAGAGAGGGTGGGTTTCCCCATGCACCGCGACCAGTTTGATCTATTGTGCTTCCCTCTATGATATTCTACCAGTCTCTTTACGCTACCGATAAATGGTGCGTACCATCAGTCCCGCCAAGCAAGCGAGTTCGGCCACTTGCTTAGCGGTGTCTGTAATGCTTCCCCCATCTATCAGAGGCCTTAAAGACTATTGTTGGGCGGGAAACGTCCTGGAATTTGGCTCAGTGATCCCCTTTGGGGATATGAGGTTCTTTTACGTGCTGTAAAGTTACGACACGGGACACACAGCTTAAAGTCCCTCCCAGAGGACTTGTTCCCTGAATTTTTCCGCCCTTAAAAATTCGACGACCTCTGCCGGGTATTTGAACCCGCGTACCACGAGTCATGAGGTGGGAACGTTACCTCTAGACTACGGAGGCCGCTAAGTGAAGTATTACTACAGTTTCCTAACAACATTCATTAAAATGGGTGCAGATAATGACACTTTTGAACCACTTCAGACAATATGAGCTACCAATTTATTTGCTGGCCTAATAAGAAAATCGTGTACTCCTGAAAAACGCTGAAATAAAACGTACTTTAGTGAGAAGGCACATAATTCAATAAGATCAACATAAAAGCTTTCATTTTTAAGATGAGTTGTTCATGGGAAGTTATATGAGAAATGTCACTCTACATATCAGTATATACTGTTGTCGTCATCACCACTTTGGTGCCTAAAGTTTAGGGCATATGAAATCTTCCTGCCCCAGTTTCATCTTCCCATCTCTTTCTAGGATCGTCAATATATATTTTTTCTCTTGGTGTATAAAGAAAAGATTGTTTCGGCACTTTTGTGGCATTCATTCCTGGGATCTATGTTCTCTTATTTTGCATTACACTGTGACATGATGCCCAAAAGCTGGAATAGTGAAATCAGAGGTGACATCCATTGCTAGGCAACTGCTTGGTAATCACATTCCCACAGCAAAGAATATGCAAGCAGCAATTGAATAAATTCCATTGTTATGCAACACTGCTGTAAACACACATTAACATTGACTGAGGACACAGTGTCTTCTGTGAGTCCACCTCATGGCTATGTAACAAGGATCTCATGCAGCTAGAATTAGAGTTTGGTCAAGTTCTTGAGATGGCAGTAGAAGCTGACTGGGAAGAAATGGCAAGAAAGGAATTAGACTGTGCAACGATGACTTCATGTGTGCTGTAGTGACAGTGGGACTGGAATAACCACTGTATGCAAATCTGTTGCCAGGATACGATTAGTGAAGTCTAAGAACCCTAGTGCATGTGTAACAGTGAACTGTAAAATGTGCAGACCAGTGTTAGCACTGTAATTACGTGCAGTCCCAAGCTGAATGCATAAGGTGTCAACAAATCCAATCATCCAATCCAAAACCTGTCTCATAAGTCACACATAAACCCTACATTTGATAATATTGCAAATATTTTTATTTCTTTCCATATCTGATCGTTTCTAATTCTGTCCATTCTTGTACATCATAAGACTGCTTGTTACAGCAAATACAAATACAGACAAATACCACATAAAATGACAATTAAGGACTGTATCATAGATACACAGAACAGGTTGTATGCTAATGTTTTGGTCCTGCCACCATCACTACGAGGTTTGATGTGGCTCAGAAGCAATAGCTACCTATAGACTTTCACTGATATTCAAAATAATACAACTTAATATTTTCATTGTGGTTTGGGCATTGCCTTGAGAGATATCGACTTGTTTCAATGTACAGCAACATAAATCCCACAAAGTTTTACATCTAATAGGAAGTCTCTTCAGGGACACATTTCTTATCAGATCTGGGTTTCTCAAAGTGAGAACTATCTTGTGGGATAAAACACAATATAATCTGGCAGAAGTTACCAACATTTCAGAAAAATGTATTTCTTCTGTCTTCAGAGTTGAAGAGTAAGCTGAATAAGCAAGTGGAAAGCAGCATGCAGAGTAAGCCTAGGCTGAGCATGGTGTGGAAGATGATGATGCATGGATATAAAAGTGCCTGTCATTCTGGAGACCCTGGCTTCTCAGAACTGCTGTGTCTGTTATGGTGGTGTTTGTAGTAAGATGCTACCGTGACACTAATGTGTCATCTGTAGGTTTCTTGCATTTGTCGGCTCTTAACACAGTATCTGCTGGGGTCTTGCGCAAGTGGTGTTGTAATTGCCTAATAACACCATTATCGAGTTGCTGTGTTACCTAATGTGCTGATAAAGTTTGCGGATGATCTTTCAATTTCTTCCTTTCAGAGTTTCGATGTTGGCTAATTGATCCACTGACAAGGCGGAAAAGTTCATGTATTTGGAAATGACAGTCCATCTGTCCATCCGTCCCTTTGTCTGTCTGTCCGTCCGTCCGTCCATCCGTCCATCCATCCATCCGTCCATCTGTCCATCCATCCATCCATCCACCCACCCATCCATCCATCCCTGTTGCTCCCACTTGGAACATAAAGCATCCATGAAACGCTTTGTTTCACTTCAGTTTCTTAAACTTAAGACAGCTGGCAGGACCCCTTGCATGGGGAATCAGCCCATCACAAGGACACTACCTAACACAAACAGAATAAATGCAAACAGACATCCATGTCTTGATTGGGATTCCAACCAATGATCCCAGTATTCGAACGGGCAAAGATATTTCATGCCTTAGACCATGCGGCCACTGTGATCACAGTAACAGCAGTAACGAATCAAAATGTGATTGTGAAGGGAATTAAGAGAAGACTGAGTTTGGGTAATGCTTGCTACCATTCAGTCCAGAACCTTTTGTCATCTCGTCTGCTGTCTAAATACGTAAATATTAGAACATATAAAACTATAATTTTGCCTGTGATTCTGTATGGGAGTGAAACTCGGTCTGTGACATTAAGGGAGGAACATAGACTGAGGGTGTTCGAGAACAGGGTGCTGAGAAGAATACTTAGACCAAAGACAGATGAAGTAATGGGAGTGGAGAAAGCTGCATAATGAGCAGGTTCATAATTTGAACTCTTCGCCCAGTATTATTAGAATGATCAAGCCATGGAGGATGAGATGACAGGATATGTAGCAGGACTGGGGAGAAGAGGAATGCATATAGGATTTTGGTGGGAAAACCAGATGGGTAAGACCTAGATGTAGGTGGGAGGATAATATTAAGACAGATCTTAGAGAGATAGGATGGGGTGGTATGGATTGGATTGGTCTGACCAGGTAGGGACCAGTAGAGGGCTCTTGTGAACATGTTAATGAACCTTCAGGTTCCACAAAATGTTGGGAAATTCTTGAGCAGCTGCACAACTGGTGGCTATGCAAGAAGGGCTCAGCTCCATGGAGTTACTTAGTTCGTTAGTCAGTCAGTCAGTCAGTTAGTTAGGGTTCTATGCATACCGTTGCATTAACTGAGGATGGAAAAATGTGGTATGAATAAACGCTGGGGTAAGTGCCCTGAATAAACCATTAGGAGCAAGGAGAGGAGTGAACAAACAAAAGCCCTTAAATAACCAGTTTTTGCCCAAGAGAGGGATGAAAGAAATGTTGGTAAGAGATCAGCAAGAGGTATAGATAGGCTTGGGGAATAAGAGGGGGGGGCAGGCACAGTACAGAGGGGGATAAAAAAGTATAAGAGGCAGCATGGGTGGAAAGATAGACAAGACTACGACTGAGGCTGAAGGTACAATACAGAGGGGGGACGAAGAGAAGATTCAGAAGAGGGCAGACAATACTGACGTTCATGGAACAGACAAGACTATAATCTGAGCAGAAGGCAAAGTATGGAGGAGGGAAGAAAGAAGAAGAGGAAGGTGGACCTAGAGGCGAAATTGTTATGTAGATAACAGTGACAGATTTATAATATTAATTTCTTTTTTAAGTTAATGTATTATAGGCAATCATGGGGCAAACATGTAATGTTACGGACAAAGATTTCACTCTATTTATGTCATGTATATCCACACTTCTCCGCTGTTTTACAGAACGCTGCTGGCAACAGTACAAAATCAGTTAAGATTGTTAGATTTCTAAAACTTAGATTTCAAAGTACTGAACACCATATTTTCTTGCAGGAGACTCTGGTAATGGATTACGTCGAATTCAACGCCCCTTTAACTAATTCCATTGTTGGATGTGATTCTGAGCTAGTTCAATCCAGTTCACATCTCACCACCTGTTTCTCTAAAATCTACTTGGATAAAGTACTACCATGTCTTCGGTAAAACAAGTGTACGTTTTCCATGAGGGATTTCTAATTTACTTTTCTTTCTTTTCTCATGATATTCACATTAAGGGATGGTATGTATGCAACGCTGCTGGTGCTAAACTATATATAACAATGTCAACGTGAGGCACTGATAGTTCAGCAGGTCTCATATTTGAGGTGGCAGATAAAAGAACAAATATTATTCAGCCAATGGAAAAGGCCCAAGTATCACTTATCTCATGTTTTTTGCAGCTTAGTGCAACTGTTTGCAGATGGCCTTACTCATCATCTGTGCTGACAGGCTTTCATTTG